TGGAGACTCTAAAAGCCAGAAGGACATGGACAGATGTCCTGCAGACTCTGAGAGACCACAGATGCCAGCCCACACTATTACACCCAGCAAAACTTTCAATCACTATAGAGGGAGATAAAAGCTATTCTATGACAAAATCAAATTTAAAAAAAAAAAATCTATTTCCATTATAGCACTAGAGAAGGTGTTAGATAGTTCCAACCTAAGGAGGTTAACTACACACATAAAAACACAGGAAATAAATAATCTCACACCAGCAAAGCCAAAAAATGGAAATACATACATACCACCTCAACCAATAGCAAAATAAGAGGAATCAACAATTATTGATCATTGATAGCTCTCAATATCAATGATCTCTATTTCCTAAGAAAAAGACACAGCCTAACAGAATGGATGAAAAACAGGATCCACCCTTCCTTTGCAACCAAGAAACATCTCAACATCAAGGAATAGGTATCACCTCAAGGTAAAGTGTTGGAAAAATATATTCTAATCAAATGAATCTAAGGAGTAAGCAAGTATAGCCATTTTAATATCTAATAAAATAGATTTCAAGCCAAAATTAATCAAAAGAGATGGAGAAGGATACTATGTACTAGTCAAAGGAAAAATTCACTAAGATGACATTTCAATTCTTAACTTTACTAGAGCTTAAGTCACACAGTGATAGTGGGAGACTTAAATACCAGACTCTTACCAATGGACAGGTCATCCAGACAACAAGTAAACAGAGAAACACTGGAAATAACAGATATTATAAACCAAAGGAACCTGACATATTTACAGAACATTTCACCCAAACACAAAAGTGTTTGGCTGGAAATCTCCAGTTCACTTCTGTTTGATCCAGAAAGCCCCACTTCTCTCTCCAAACCCTGTCCTCTTGGAAAATCTCCAACAAGGAGAAGGTGCCAAAAGCCCAGTTCTGCATTGTTGGCAGTGGCAGAGGCTCCTCCTGGGAAGTTGCCAGTGGCCCAGAGACCCTGCCCAAAGCAGACCATACTTGGGCACAAACCCAGCTTATGGAGGGCATGTCATCACTCCCTTGCCTACAGGACATTTAAGCTCCTTTAGTTAAAGCATGTGACTTCTCCTGCCTCCATCCCTGGGGGCTGAAGAACTCACCTGGGAGTTGCTTTGCTCAAAATAAACCTATACTTTTAATTTTTCAGTTTGGCTTGATCTGGATAGACTACTTTTTTGTTTGTTTGTTTTGTTTGTTTGTTGTTTGTTTGGTTTTTTGGTTTTTCGAGACAGGGTTTCTCTGTGTAGCTTTGCGCCTTTCCTGGAACTCACTTGGTAGCCCAGGCTGGCCTCGAACTCACAGAGATCCACCTGGCTCTGCCTCCCGAGTGCTAGGATTAAAGGTGTGCGCCACCACCGCCCGGCTAGGATAGACTACTTTTGAGATACAGAAAACCTATTTAAAAAGTATACCTTCAACTCTGTACCTCATGGAACATTCTCCAAAATTGACCACGTACTCAGACACAAAGCAAGTCATAGTAAATACAGAAAAATTGAAATAACTCTGTATCCTATCAGAATACCAGAGATTAAAACTGGATATTAACAACAGCAGAAACAACGCAAAGCTTACAAACTCAAGGAAACTGAACAACTTTATTGAATGAAAAATGGGTGGAAACAGAAGTAAAGAAATTAAGGACTTTCTGTAGTTCAATGAAAAGGAATAGATAGCACATGCAAACTGACAGAACACAATGAAAGTAGTGCTAAGAGGAAAGTTCAAAGCATTAAGTTCCTACATTTAAAAAAAAGGAGAGATCTCATACTAACAACGTAACAGCATGCTTAAAAGTTCTAGAAGCAATCACATTTGGAAGAAGTAGAGGGCAGAAAATAATCAAACTCAGGGCTGAAATCAATAAAATAGAAACATAGAGAACAATACGAAGAATCAATTAAACGAAGGGTTGGTTCTTTGAGAAAAATGAACAAAATAGACAAACACTTATCCAAACTAACTAAAAGGCAAAAGGAGAATATCTAAATTAACAAAAATCTGAGACAGAAAGGAGGACATAACAACAGACACCAAGGAAACACAGAAAAATCATAAGGACATACTTAAAAAAAAACCTTAACTCCACCAAATTTGAAAATCTAAAGGAAGTAGATACATTTCTCCACTTACCAAAGTTATATCAAGATCAAATAAACAATTTAAATAGACATAAAGCCCCCAGTAAATGTTTCCCAAACCCCCCTCAATAAAACCTTGTGGCCATATGGTTTTAGCACAGAATTCAAGCAGACTTACCAAGAAGAGCTAATGCCAATACTTTTCAAATTATTCCAGAAAATAGAAACAGAAGGAAAATTGCCTGATTCATTTTATGAGGCCATGGTTATCCTGATACCAAAAACATGTAAACATTTAACAAAGAAAGAGAATTGCAGACCAATTTCCCTATGAACATACATACAAAAACACTCAATTAAATATTGCAAACTAAATCCAAGAACACATCAAAAATTCATCTATCATGATCAAGTAGGCTTCACTCCAGAGACCCAATATATGATAATCAGTAAATATAATCTACCATATAAACAAACTGAAAGGGAAAAGAGAACATGAGTATCTTATTAGATGCACAAAATCTCTGACAAAATCCAATCTCCCTTCATGATGAAAGTTCTGGAGAGATTAGGATTACAAGGGATATACCTAAACATAATAAAGGGAATTTACAGCAACCCTATAGTCAACATCAAATTAAATGGAGAGAAACTTAAAACAATTTCACTAAAATCAGGAACAAAACAAGATTTTCCACTCTCTCCATATCTATTCAACATAGTGTTTGAAATTTTAGCTAGAGCAATAAGACAACTGAAGGAAATCAAGGAGATACAACTCAGAAAGAAAGATGTCAACGTGTTATCATTTGCACATGATATGGTAGTATACACAAGCAACCCCCAAAATTTCATCAGGGAACTTCCACAACTGATAAATGCTTTCAGCAAAGTTGCTGAATAGAAGATTAACAAAAAATCAAATAAATAAATAAATAAAGCAAAAACAAACAAACAAACACCAATAGTCCTTTAATCTGCAAATGATAAATGGCCTGAGAAAGAAACAATACCTTTCACAATAGTCTCAAATAATATAAAATATCTTGGGGAAACTCTAACCAAACAAGTGAAAGTCCTTGAAGAATGTAACTGAAGAAGATATCAGAAGATAGAAAGATTTCCCACGCTCATGGATCTGTATGGTTAACATAATAAAAACGGACACCCTACCAAAAGCATTCTATAGATTTGATACAATCCCCATCAAAATCCCAGCACAATTCTTTACAGACCATCAAAGGAAAATTCTCAGCTGTTTAAGTAAAAACAAACAAACAAACAAACACCCAGGATAGCTTAAACAATACCAACAATAAAAAAACTGCCGGATGTTCCACCTGTCTTGATTTCAAGTTGTACTACAGATCTACCATAATAAAAATCTACATGGTATTGGCATAAAAGCAGACATACTGATCAATGGAATTGAACTGAAGACCAAGACATAAATCCCCACACACTACTGATTTTTTATAAAGTATTTTTTAAGTATTACAAACTGGACAAAAAAAGATAGCATCTTCCACAAATGGTGCTGGTGAAACTGGATGGCTTCATGTAGAAGAATGCAAATAGATTCCTACTTACCATCCTGCACATAACTCAAGTCCAAGTAGATCAAAGGCCTCAACATAAACTGAAGCAGCAAGCACAAGACCTACATGGGTCTACACCAGGTCTTACGTATCTATAATGTAGCTGCTAGTTTAGTATTTTTATGGCACTTCTGATTATGAGAATGAATGGGTTTCTGATTCTTTTGCCGGCTTTTGGGTCTCTATACCTCCTGTTGGGTTAATGCGCCCAAATTTGATATGAAATTTTTTGCTTCATCTTATTATATTTCGTGTTGTTATCTCTTAAACACCCATGCTTTTCTAATGAGAGACTGAAAGGGAGTGGGTCAGGAGGGAAGGAGAGATGGGGAGAAACTGGGAGGAGTGGAGTGAGGGGAAACTATAATTAAGATTTATTGTAAGAGAAATAATCTTTCAATTAATTTAAAAAACCCATGTGAAAATCAGAAAAAATTTAAATTGAAAATAAAATTTCTCTCATATAATATATTCTGCCTACAATTTTCTCTCTCTCAAATCCTTCCAGATACTCCGTACTTCCCCATCCACCCAAATCCACATTCTTTCTTTCTCTCATTATGAAACAAACAGGCATCAAAAAAATCATAGCAACAAAATTTGTAAAAAAGAAACAAACTCAAATAGCTCAAAACAAAAATATAGGAAAGAAAGAACTAAAGAAAAAAATCACATCAAACACATACAGATGTGAGATGCACACATTTGCACACGTAGAAAAACCCATGAAACAAAATTTGAATAAAAATACATAAGTAAAATATAAAATAAAAATGCTCTGACAAAAAAAAAAAAACACCTTCAAAAAATACCATTGAATTCCTTTTGTACTGGCTATCTACTTTCAGGTGTGGGTCCTGCCCTGAAGTGGGGTTTGTATATTCACTGAAAATTTTCCTTTGTGAATGGCTATTAGTCGGAGATAAATTCTAGGTTTAGGATAGAGTCTTGTGTCTACTTCCCTTCATAATGCTGGGACTCCCAGAGAGCATGCCCTGTGTGTGTTGCCACAGTAACAGAAAATATTTTAACACAATCATAGAAAAAAAAATCCATACTAAAGGGTAAGATATCTATTAAGGTAAAAGTGGCATGTAGAACACCAAATAGACAGGACCAGAAATAAAATTCCCTGCAACACACAATAATCTAAATGCTAAATGTGAAGAAGAAAGAAAAAATATTAAAAGCTTCAAGGGAAAAATACCAAGTAACATATAAAGGCAGGCCCATCAGAGTAACACCTGACCTTTTAGTGGGGACTCTGAAAGTCATAAGGGCCTGGAAAGATGCTCTGAGAAACCTGAGAGACCACAAATGCCAGCCTAGACTACTATACTCAGCAAAACTATCAATTATAGTAGATGGAGGCGGGGGGGGGGGGGGGAGCAATTTCTGTCTACCAAGCCAGTTCTAAAGAAGACACTAGAAGGAAAATTTCAGTCTGAAAAGAAGGCCAATTACATTCAAGAAAAAAACAAGTAGCAATTAATTCCAGGACAATTAGTCAAAAGCAGGGGAAAAATCCACACAATCACAGCAATAAAACAGGACTCAAAAATACTGCTAATTAATAACTCTCAGTATTAATGGTCAATTAACATATGAAAAAACATTGACTGACAGATTGAGTTAGAAAACTCATCATATTAAGATGTTGAAGAAATAAATTGAAACATACACCAGAAGATTTGTGAAAATCTCCCATGCTTGGGGATCAGTAGATATAATATTGTGAAAATTCCAACACTATTCTTCACAGAAACTGAAAAACAAAACAAAACAATAACAACAACAACAACAACAACAACAACAACAAGAAAGCCAATCCTCCTCAGCTTCATTGAAACAAACATTCCAGGAAGTATCACCATTCCAGATTCCAAAGTATACTATATAGCTATAGTAATAAAAACAGCACAGTATTGGCTAAAAATAGACACATTGATCGATGTAATCAAATTGAAGACCCAGACATAATTCCACACAAACACAGACACCTGACTTTTTATAAAGAAGCCCAAATTACACACTGAGAAAAAGACAGCTTCTTCAAGAATTAGTGTTGGTCAAACTGGATGGCTGCATTGAAGATTAAAAATAGACTCATATCTACCACCATGTGTGAACTCCACTCTAAATTGGTCAGGGACTTCAAAATAAAATCAGATTCTCTGGATCTGATAGAAGATAAACTGGGAAAGAGACTTGAAGTAACTGGCACAGATAAGGGCTATCTGGACAGGAGAGCAATAACACAGGCACTATAAACAACATATGCTAAATGGTGCCCCAAGAAACTGACAACTTTCTATATGGCAAAGGATACTATCATTTAAACAAAGCAGCCACCTACAGAATGGGAAAGAAAAGCTTGCCAAAAGTACATCTGATAGAAGGTTAGTACCTAGACTACAGAAAGAACTAAAACCAAATAAACAAACAAAAATACCACTCCTTACACACAAAAAGACAGCAAAATAAAACAACAACAAAACCTTAGAAAATCAAGAAAGCAAATTACCCAATCAAAGAAGTTGAATACAGAACAAAATGGAGAGTCTTCAAAAGATGAAACACAAAGGACTAAGAAACACCTTCACCATGTTCAACACCTTTAGCCATAAGAGGCATGAAAATTAAAACTACTATGTGATTTCATCTTAGTACAGTCGTAATTGTCAAGGTAAAAAAAAGACAAATAAGTGCACTTGGCAAGCGGGGAACACTTATTCAGTACTGATGGGAGCACAACCATACTGGTCCTGTGAAAACCAGTGTGCAGTTTCCTCAAAAAGCTGAAAATTGGTCTACCTCATGATCCAGCTATACTATTCTTGGGACACATGTCCAAAGAATTCTACATCTTACTACAGAGATGCTTGCTCATCCATTTTCATTGCAGCTGCATTAATAACACCCAGACACTGGCAATAGTCTAGATGTCCATCAACTGATGGGTGTATAGTGAAAGTGTGGTACACTTGCACAGGAAAATATTATTCAGCTGTTAAGCAAAATGAAATTCACAGGAAAGTGGATAGATCTGGAAACAAACATTCTGAGTGGAGTAATTAAGACAAATTCGCATGTATTCTATTATCTGTGGATGTTAGCTTTTAAGCTTTCAGTATGTATGTTTCATTATAAATAATCACAGAAGTTAGGCAGCTGGAAAGGGACTAAGTGGGAGGAGGAATTCTTCCAAGGAAGGAGAAATGAAGTGTGGTGTTATTAAGAGATAAAAGGGACACTAGAATAGATTATTGGGAAGGGTTATGGGAGGACTGGGTAAAGAAGCGTATATGGAAATGGACAATTAACACCTATGGCCTTTTGAAAAGCCATATGGAAACCTAGTTATGTGCCAAGAATGGGTTGTAAAGTATCTAGTCATTGATCAAAAAGGGGGTCCATAATTTCCCTGAAACATTACAGACGATTGTTGAAGCTATTGGTTACTCCCCAAACCCTATGGTAAGACCCTATTGCTGTATCCATCTTTCTTATGCTATCAAACATGGAAAATTGATCTTGTGCCTAACTAGAAGCTTCACCCCTAACTGACTGGCATTCATGATGCTAATACTTTGCATGTTACCAAAGGAGAAAAATAATGCTCAATATCATCCAGCTACAAACCCTGTTATCAACAAGAGTGACCTGTCTACAAAATATGCTGGTGGATGAGGGGAACAACTATTATGGGAGTTCCCAATCATTTTAAAATTTGACTTAAGGCCCACTCCATGTTGGACTCATACCCAAAATGGCTAAATTGCCAAAACAAAAC